TTCCGCCGGGTCGAGGGGAAGTACGGGGAAAAGCCCTCTGCCCGCTTCGCCTGCCCTCTCCCGGGGCATGAAGAGCCCGGTGGCCCCGGCCCGTGGTGCACAGGGCTCGGAGCTGAAGGGCACGGGGAAGACATGCCCGTAGGTGGCGGGAGCTGCAGGGTGGGCACGGTCTGTGCCCCGCACGATGTGCAGGGATGTGCGGGGGGACACCCCGCTTGCGGGTGAGCTCAGGTGGCAGCGGCAGGGCCGGGCTGCGGCTGCAAAGGTGCTCCTGCTCCCGGGGAGACACCCCGCGCAGGCGGAGGGTGCGGGGGTCCGGGCGAGGTTCCCGTCGGGGCTCCCGCTGGGGGATAAACGCAGCGCAGGGGCGCTGCAGCGGGCTGGCTGGGCAGCGAGGGCTCCAGTGACCCAGCAGCTGCGGAACGAGGGCTGGCACTCAGCTGATGGTCCAGGATTTTGGGCGGTGATGGTGAAGATGTGCACCAGCAGTGCCATGGCATGCCTGGGGGGGAGGGATTGGCAGCTGTTCTGCACATCTGGCAAACTGCCGGGAAGGCAGGAAGCGCTGATGTGGGTGGTGCTTCTGCTTCCTTTACCTTGCTACGTTTTGCTACAGAGTAGATGTGTGTTTCATTAACAGGTTGTCTACCTAGTGCCAGCTGCCTTGACGCTGCTTGTGGGCATTAACCCTTCAGTAACAGGTATGATAGTGGAATGCAAAACAGATTCTCTGCTCAAATTTCGCCTCCGAAAGGTCTGTAAAGATCAGGCTGCGTGGAAACACGTCCTACTACCTTTTGAGGGCAAAAAGCTGTGGGACCTGCTTTCACAAAAGGTGGCCATTGGTTTGGTGCTTGTGGTTGGATGTGCTGCAGGTGAGCGCAGGAGCCCTGCGTAAAGGTCTCCTGCTGGGTTGGTCTTACCTTTGCACCTCAATTCCAGCACTTCAAGGCTGAGTGGAGCACAAGCCTGGGAGCATGCTCTGAGCCTGGCTCTGATGTTGACGTTGGCACATTAATTCACCTTGTTTCCTTGTTGTAAATCTGCCTTTTGCTTATCTACCTCAAAGAAGAGCAGTTGAGCTCTGCACAGTCCTTTGAAAGAGCTAAAAGTCTTGTTCAGTATCAAGCGTTCCAGCTGCCCCACAGAGAGCATGGGCAGTGATGGGCATGCGTAGAGCAGCGGCCGAGTTTCTGGGGGCATACACAAAGGGGACTAATGCCACACAACAGGTTGAGAGAATCACTCAGATCAGATTTGGTCCAGGACTCCAGAAAATAGTTCATTTTTTGTATGTTCATCCAGCAGAAATAATTTTAAAATAACGATTTTATATACACCAAGTGACTGTATCTTTTCTGAAAGAATACTTACTCTGAATAAACTAAAACCACACTTAGGCCAAAAAAGAACATCTCCAAGAGTGTGTGCTGTTGTCCCAAATCACACCATTGCAGTCTCTTGGCATTCTGGCTACCTGAAGCGTATAAAGCAGCAGCATGCATGAAGGCAAAGCCTGTGGGGGTTGTTTGGCTGGGGTTTTGAACGTGCCAGGCGAGGGGTTTTTGTGTGACAGGTGTAGCTTCAACATAATGGCATCCGGCTGGTCAGGAGGATCTGTGTGCTAAACTCTCAAGTAGGCTTTTGTTAATGGTGCCAAGATCTGTGGAAAATAAAAACTGAAATAGCACAAGTGTTGTATAACTGGACATGTCTGTAAATCCACCGAGGGGTATTTGCCACTCACGTCCGTGGCAGACCCAGGTTCTGCCTCTGCTGAGGTGCAGTAAGTTCAGCCCAATGGGGAGTCGATTACAACTCTGGGTCACGCTGAGCTCTTGAATTTTGGCAGCCCAGCATCTTTAATGCTTGCCTGGAGGGGTCAGTGCCCAGAAAAGACTGCTTTTGATTTTATGGCTTTTGCTGTTAACATTGCTGAGATTGGTGAGAACTGCCCGTGTCATTTGCTCATCTCTCCCCCATGAGACCTTGGGAACGGACATGGAAAACCACAAGAATCTATGGGCCCATTCAGGTATTTCACATCATCCGTGTTTCTCTGTTTGAAAAAAACAGTCCCCAGGCAGACATGTCCTCAGCGTGGCTCATCATCACGGGCAAATCTCAGGCTCACGGGGGAGTGTGAGGGCAGGTCCCTGCCACACGGTGGTTGCTCCATGCTGACGGCTGGCTGGGAGCTGGGGCACGCACCCCCAGGCCCCGCTGGTCTGGGGTCATGCTGAGCGCC